ATATATTACAATCCTAAGACATTTGGAATTTAATTCAATCAGGTGTTGAAGCAGAAGAAATCTAGTTCAGGTTCACTAATGAGCATCCATATTAATCCTTCAACAGCACTTTGAAAATGCACAAAAACTTTGAGTGTGTTTAGAACTGTTTTCAACTTACTTTGAAAGGCTTCAATTTAAAGAGCAAGTAGTCCCTGCTGCAATGTGATGCAACCACACAAATGGCTGATGACAGATTAGGTTAAAACCAGCAACTATCCTTTTCTTGAAGCAAATGTTTCTGTTAGCATACCACAAAAGCTTATTATTTAATTACTTTTTGTTTTAAGAGAAGCCCTTTATGTATATAGGGCCTGTCTGTGGGCATAGAATCTGTTTTTTCTTCTCTGCTTATGAACAACATCTAGGACCACCACCCTCAAGGCCTTTCTAAATGAGCACCACTCTGTTCCTGAGCCTTTCTATTCCCAAGGCTGTGAAGCTCACACATGTAGCAGTGCTGGGGGTGAAAAGGGAGAAAAATATCAGTCATCTCCAGCTCATTCTCCTCACTACTCCTGGGATAGAAAGGCCATGGAAATGAATACCAAATCTGTTCAGGACAGGGAAAGAGCAAGCAGAAGAGTGTTAGAAGCACTGGTACAGTGCCACAGCACTGTGGTTGTGCCAGGGAATAGTAATATGGAAACCTTTTGTAAATTTGTATTTCCTTAAGAGAATGTGAATGAAGGTCTGCTGCTGCTACTAGGGTGGGTGCTAAATGCTGCCATCTCCCACATCTCCATGCCTACTTTGGATATGGACTGAGCTCATTGAGGAAAGGATTGGTTTGGAAACGGAAAAAATGGCTGTGAAAAATAGCCCTATGAAAGTGCATGCTTTTTGTAGCTAAAATAAAACCAGTGGTTGCCTACAGGGGAATAAAAAAAGAATTTTAAACAGAGTCCTTCATGTGGAAAGCAGAGATGCTGACAGTTTCTATTAAGTTCTTTAGAAAATCTCTTCCTGTGAAGGATGTCCTGTCTGACTTGCTGGTCCAATTCAGGACAGAGAAAGTTATTTGTAATTTAATGATACCTCTTTTGGGAAGGTTTTTGCATTGTAGAACTGGCTGGAGCTCACTGCACCTTGGACAGATTTTTGTCCTGTGCAGCTGTAGCACATCAGGCTGTTGGAGAGGCAGTATGAGTAGTACCATCTGCTGCAGAGGGGCTGGGGTGCTTGCTGGAGGGTATCTCATCTGGGTCACCTTTTCCACAGAATATATATGTAGTATTTATTGTGCAAAACTCTAACCCCCTCATTCAAATTGCCTGCAATTTAAGCAGTGGGTTACAAAAGAGGTGCTGGGATGGAAGTATTGACCTCATTGCAGCAGTTCAATTGCCTTGTGAAATGAAGTTAAAGATAGCTCGGAGGAGAGGAGGAGGAGAAGGCACCCAGATCCTAAGAGTTGTTAGGAGGGAGGGCAGGAAGACATCCAGGCAAACCCTGGCACAAAGAGGAGCTTGTAGCAGTGTTCTTTATGCTTTAAATCTGTTTTGAGCAGTGGGATATATGGTAATGAGCAAGCTTACAGCATTGGGAGCGGGGAGGAAGGAGATAATTTCCACATTGTCCTGGTGCACTATAAATGGTTCTGGCTGGCAGGGCAGCTGCATGACGCACAAGGCAAGGAACACAGCGCCAATGTTGCTATCACTTTGCTTTGCTCCTTCTTAGGAATGGGAAGGAGAAACCAATTCTGATTGTTTCTAAGGCTTTTTCAGTTCCAAGCATGTGTGAACAAATTTAAAAAAAAGTAGTCAAATAGGAGTTTGGAAGCTTTAAAAACCTAAAAAGCAACCACTTGTTCTTTTAGGAAGGTTTCCAAAACAATGGCTGGCAGTGAGAACAAATGATCCAAATATACATCCAGAAAAGCTTCTTAGCTGTAGAAGTAAGCATGGATTTTACTGATCATATGGTTTGAATTCAAAATTATGCCCAAACTTTTATAGCTCCCACTGTCACCAAAAGCCAGATTCTTGAGGGTTTTCCCTGTTGAGGTCTTAAGAGTACTGAGTTGCCAAAATACTTGTACTGTATATTTGGGATGGTTATAGAGCTGTGAACATTTTTCTCCAGTGTGCTACACAAAGATGTACTCTGTTCAATTATTTGGAACATTAACATTGTTGTCATACACAACTGAATATAAATTCCCTTATAAATGGGGACAACTTAGCCAAGACTGTCACAAAAAATATGTTGTAATTGGGAGAAGTATTGGAGACATTGTTTTTTGGCAACCACATATTACTCAGTGGGATGGTTCATTTTAATCCATTGTCCAGCATTTGCCTCCCATACTTGATGACAAATATGATGTTGCAAGCTTGCCACCTCTCGTCTGCATTTTCTCTTCATAACAAAAAAAAGGAAATATGGCTTTGAACCTCTGTCCAGTTGGATTCTGGTTCAGACTGCCTGAGTGACTTGGAGCAGGAATCTAAAATCCAAGTACACAGAAAGGCATGGGTGACAAAACAGGATTTACAAGGGGAAACAGTGATCTGATTATCACTTTCTAGGGACAATTTATATTTGTTTAATCAGCTACTGCAGTGACACATCCTTAACAGGCGGAAGAGACAAATTCACAGCTACAAAACACTTGCCTGCAAAAATCTATCAGTCCTAAGCAGGATTCATGCCAAGCTATTGCTATCAGAGAAGTGTTTTCCAGAGCCCAAAAATATTCAAGAATTCATTAGTGCATTTGTTATGGTTGCACACTGAGGAGGAATATCTACCGGATTTTCTTTTTTTTTTTTGGCACCTTTGTAGCCAATTCATTATTGCTAACGGATTTTCTGGAACAAAATTAATTGATATTAACTGATATTAACTATTTTGTATTGTCTCACCTGTTAGTAGTTTTGAGAACAAGAATACTCCAAGGAGAGAAACAGTGCGTAATTTTCTTGTCTCTCATGAGTACCCAGCTACTGGATTTGATTAGACTTTTTTGAGAACATAGACCTCAAAATTCATGAGTCTTATGAGGTACTGCTGGTTGTGTGCAGCACTGAAATCTCAAGTTTTTGCCTGGATGTCAGGTGTTACACCTACAATGCATAAGAATGCTGCTTAGAAATTTTTCTACTGTGATGCCATTATCTCAGATATCCGGAGTTAGACTACCTGCATTTTTTCCATTTTAATTAAACAGGCACAATATCTGGCTCAGAGAATTAATATGGATAGTGTGCCCAGTATAGGATGATTATTTTCTACAGGGGTGCTCTTTTAATATAACTCACAGGGAGTTTTGGTCTTTGTCTACAAAGGTAATGGATAAGAAAATAGAGAAAAATAAAATGCAGATGAGAAAATGGAATGTTATATATGGTAAAATAAAGAAACAGACCAGCCTAATGACATCCAAGAAACACATATAACCAAGCTCCAGGATTCCAGAGTGATAATCTCATTAATTTCATATTATTATGCAACTGTCAGCTCCTGGACCCTTATGGAATCACAGAAATTTATGTCAAAAACTGAATCAGATTAGACATTTAAATTAATTATTGAAATTAGCTCTAGTTTTTTATTTGAACTCAGTTGTGATTTACTGTACTGGACTTGCCAAATTTTCTTTTAAACAGTTCCCTGTCATTATTCTGCTGAAGAAGTCCAGGTTTTTCCATCAAACCTGAAGATGTATTTATTTTCAGCAAGGATTACCATTCTTGCCAGTGGAATCCCCATAGATTTGGCTAATTGTAATATGGCTGTAAATATGTGTTTTCCATGGAAATGAGTTTAGTCACAGGAATTTCTGTCTTTTTTAAAAATACTGATAGCTGTGCTTAATATGGTTGCCAAACACATGTATGGTTTAAAGAAAAAAATAATATATTTACACTGCACTGCTCACTATATGTATGTATTGCTTTTTTGGATGAAGCATGAAGTGACAGCTTGACTGTCTCTCATGGATTTGTGCTGTTAGCAAATAAGGAAAGCCTCCTTTAGCTCAATCAGGATGTGTGCTGTTGAAATCTTGCCCTCTTGCAAATGCCTGTGAGCTTGAATCCAGTCTTTGTGTAGTTTTTGTAGATATATTTTCATTGCTTTATGGGTTTTTTTTGCTTTGGTTTTAAGAAAGTACTTGAAAATGCCATATGTGACTGGTATGCAAAGAATCCAGAGACAGTACTACTAAAAATGCATATAAGGAACTGGGCAATATTTGCAAGAGCATATAGTGACAGGACAAGGGAAAACAGCTTCGGATTGAGAGTAGGGTTAGGTTAGATACTGGGAAGAAATTCTTTACTCTGAGGGTGGTGAGGCACTGGAACAGATTGCCCAGAGAAGCTGTGGATGCCCTGTCCTGGAAGTGCTCAAGGCAAGGTTGGGTGAAGCTCTGAGAAACTTGGTCTAGTAAAGATGTCCCTGCCCATGGCAGGGAACTGGAACAAGATGATCATTAAGGTCCCTCCCAGTCCAAACCATTCCATGATCTATAGTAGTAATATTAATTTAGTTTAACTTCTTACTAATTTTCATTTTAGGCTGGCACAGCAGGGCAACTCTTTACTTGTTAGCTACTGACATACAAATCTAATGCCAGGAGTCTTGAGTTTCCATATTTAAAAAACAAAAAGTACAACCATAGAATTATTGAGTGGTTTGCATTGGGAGGGACCTTTTTTGTTCACTAGGTAATTGCTCAGTGGAGACTTCTGTTGAGATGTCTGCAGAGGGAGAAGGCGTTTTCCACTGATCTTCTATTCATAACTTAGAACAGAGTAAATGCTATTAGTAGTATGATTATGCCTTCTAATTAATCTGTATGAAGTAAAGATAACGAATATAATAGAAACATGTTGAGATTTGTATGATTCACATTATACTTTTATTCAAAATCTGACCACAAATATTACTAGCTTTTTAAAGTATAATTTTGAAACTTTTTTAACATAATGCATAATTTCTTGTTTTTCTAGATATGGCATGAACTGCCTCATTCAGTTTGAGGATTTCGCTAATGCCAATGCATTCCGCCTCCTGCATAAGTACCGTAACAAGTATTGCACTTTCAATGATGACATTCAAGGTAACAAACTTTTTCTCTTCTCTTCACTGCTGTTCCCACAAGCCAGAAAAATAAGTCTTAATTTCCAGAGGGGAAAAAAATCTGTCAGCTTTATTGTGATATTTGTAGATATACAGGTCACATTTTGCCTTGGGTTTCCTCAGCATGGATTTTTGGTAAGCTGCATTTGTTCTTAACCTTTCTCCTCTCATTTACACTTCATGTTTTATTTAGATGTTCACTCTTCGGGTTTGGAGTTTTTTTAATAGTTTAGTATGTGAATGGTTTTCCCCGTATAAGTTACTAATTTCTTTGAACAAATGTCAAAGCTCAAACCTGGACTGTACTTCCTTGATTTTTTGTCGCTTCAGTGACAACTGCTCCACTGTTCCTCCATGCAACTGGATTGATAAATGTCAAACTGAATTTCAGTTCTTAAGCTGACAACTCAGTTAAATATTCATGTAATTTTCCTCACAGTCTCATTCAGTTTTAGAGGAAAATTATCCCCTTGACTCTCTTTTTCCCATCTGAATCATTTGTGGCAGCTGGAAAAAGGAAAATATCTAGGATGGGAAATGTCAGCCAGGGGGACTCCCTGCTCAATCTAAACAGGCATCTTGTCCCTCCCTCCTGAGAAGACAGACAAGTAGGGCTGAAGTGGTGTATGCTGCTACTTGGGTTGTCTTATATCTGGTCAAGAAAAGAGCTCTGGAAAATAACTTTCTCTAGGGCAGTAAGTGTATAACTTCCTCTAGGGCACAGGCTCCCATCCTTGAGAGGAATCTGAAGTCAGATGAGCTGCTGGAGAGAGGTACCCAGAGAGGGCCCTCAGTGTCCAGCTGCCTCTATCCCTCATGTTTTCTTGGGTATAAGAAGATTTTAGCAGTGACAGGTCAAAAATGGAAGTTAACCTGTCTTCATTTCTCATGGTTTTCTGTGACACTTCAAGCCAACTATTAGGAGGTAGAGTTTTCCAGAAGTCCTTATTGAGTCATGCTTGGGACCTAGGTCCTATTTCAGTGACTCAGTACATGGCAGTGGATTCAAATAGTCCTTGTCTTTCTGGTGTTAGGGATTTGACTATCCACATGAACTGTGATCGTGTTATAAGCCTGTTTCTGCATCTGAAAGAGATTATGGAGGACAACCTCCCTGATGGGAAATAAACTAATTATAAAATGTCATTTCCCTTTGTAAGAAGCATGGTGCTTCCTACCCTGAAGGGTCTGAGTGTAGCCATGGCTACAGCACTTCATCATAGCAAGCCAAACAGCATCTGGAAGTTTCCCTGGTTGTTTGGAGGCCCAGCTCCCACAGGGAATTCCCTTTCCTTGCACAATGAAGGTCCTTAATCCAAAGCAGAAAGAGGCTCAAGTAGAATGTGGTTTCAGAGAAATGGAGGTTTTTCAGCAAAAGTGTACTAACTATGGGTAAACTTACTTGACAAGGCCTTTTGTGTATTTACATTTTCAGACCACTTCATTCTCTCTCATGCACCTTGGAAGGAGGTGTCTTGACATAGAGAAGTGTTGGAAGATATCCCTTTGGCTTTTGTCTGAGCTGCTGCAGCAGCTATTGGCTTTCCTTAGAAGTGCAGCCATGTGCAGTCTTTTAATTTATTCGTTTTCTGCAATCTAATTTGTGCTCGTGGGGCCTTTGATATTTTCACAAACAATGCCTGTGACTTCGGGTGATCTCCATCCTTAATATTTGTGTAGCTTCCAAGAGGTGAAAGTGGATGCATTTATTTCTGGTCTCTGTCATTTGTCGTCATATCCCCATAGTTGCCTTCAGTAACTTATTTTTTCATAGTATGTCATCTGCTTTAATGGGGAAGTAGAAAAACAGCCCATTGATCTTTTATCCCTCTTCCTATTGCAACTTTATAAACCCTAAGGATCTTTCACCTAGCAGCTATAATTAGAATGGATGATGCTGATTTCTTTATAAATCCTTAGAGATTTTCAGATTATAAATAGCATGATTTTTTCCAGGCTACTTGGAAGAGTGGCTTTCTCTGTATGCAAGTTGTATTTTCTACAGCAGTAAAGCTGACAAGTAGTGCTAGGCCAATAAAAGCAAAGAAACATAACATTGCAACTAATTTGCCATCATCTTCTGAAGATGGTGCTTACATGGTATTTTAAACACAGTTTCTCCTAGTACTAATATTTTTCAAGACAAAGCTACTTTAAGATCAAAAGAAATGTTTAATATCTTTCATAGAAAGGCTTGAGGATTTTTTTCTCTATGTAAGATATTCAGAGAAAGTATTCCTATATATCTTAGTGATGCATTGAGGACCTTTCAGTATCTCAAATCTAAAAAATACCCTAATATATGATCCCGATTTCTGACAGGCACTAAAAAAGGTCAAGAAAACATAGCAAGCTGCATATACCCATCTGCAGGTACTGACTTGGACAAATGCAGTTGCTTTCTCTTAGCTCACAGCTATTTACAAGGGGTCAGACTGCCCCAATTGATGATTGCAGAACATTTGGAAAAGGTCTGCCAAAACACTGATCACAGAAAATCACTAAAGATTGACCATTAAGGATCACCTGTAGACATATTTAAGAATTTCTGGAAACAGTCTCCGTCCCTGCTACAGTATCGTCACATCCTTTACTTTGGAGAAAACTTTGTAACTTTTTCTGCATTACCTCTCTAGACACAAGGAATTGAGAACAAAGCTGAACAGGATTCTGACCAAATGGTATAAATCTATATTGGAAAAATAAAATTGTTTGTACTTCAGCATTTTAGAAAGCATCTTTGCTTTTGGATAAGTGGTGAATTTCTTCCCTCTGAAATTATAATAATTTCTCCATATTTTTATTTTCAAAATATCTTCTTACAAACACAATAGCAATGTTTCCTTAGGGAGAAAATATTCACTTTTTCCCTTGGATTCCCATCTGTTTTTTTTCCTGACCACAAATCAGCTTGATGCTTTTTTTTCTCTTTCTCTGAAATATAGAGACAGATTATTGGAAATGAAAATCAGAGAAAGCCTTTGGTTTAAAACAAATACTTTTATCTGATTCTGACTATTAGAGAGCCTTTTCCAAAACTGAGGGGAATGTTGATCATAATTTCCCATAAGGGAGAAATATGAATTAATTTTGTAATGGCAAACTTCACAGCATTTAGAAATTCCTGAATTAGGTCAGGTTTCTAGCTTTGCTTATCTCCATTATGTTTAGGAAGAAGGTGTCATAAGGAAAGAGTGGAATTTTCTGGAAGATGTGATACGTGATGGTTTTTTTCTTTCCAACACCCACCTGGGAATGGACCCATGGGGCGTGTGTTGCCAAACAAAGCTGATTTTCGGGGTGAGAAATGTTCTCTGCCTGACCACCCTCAAAAGAAGCTGGCTTGGGATTCACAGTTTGAAAATTTCCTTAAAGAGACTAACCCTTTCCTGCTGCAGAGAGATTGGGCAAGTCCCTTAAGATCTGCTAAAATTGAAGTCCTAGGTATAAGGCAGTGCTGAAATCCTGCTTGTGGGTGGGATTGGCTTGGGCCACACCTTCCTGCCCCTTGCAAACCCAGCGTGACATTGTGCTCCCTTTCCACACCCATTTTGACTTTGGTGAGTCTGTTCAAAGAGTTTTTGCTACCTGAGCACAATCAGTGGTTTAAGGCAAGTTTGCATGTCTTAAGAGATGTGAATTTGTATGCTGTAGGTCTCTTGGTGCTTATCATGTGGTCACTTGTAGCCTTGGAAATGGGTATTAACCCTTTAGATGCGGCAGAAATAAGATGCACAGATACATGGTCGTCTTTCATGATAGGAATGAGACAAGTTTATTCAGAAACACACTTGGTTTTATAGCATGACTTGCAACTCCAAGAGTAGAAAAAGATGATTGGTTCAGAGAGAAGACACCCCATTCCCAGGGCCTGGTCACACACCCCAACAGGTGTTCTATCTTTGTTATTAAATTCCTCTCTATTTTGACCAAGTTATCTCCCTGGGAGAAATTCTCCCTAGCCTTCAGCTGGACCAGCTTATCAGGCTGGGAACAGAACTCAGAAGCTCTGGCCTGGAATATTTTTCAGGCTGTAATTTTCTTGCTTTCTCAATATGTGTGCTCACAGTCACTGGTTGCCATCATTTTTGACATGGATACCTTTCAAATAGTGGCATAAATTTATCTAGCTTTGCTGCCTCTCTATAGGCCAATTATTTAAATTATTTCAATTATTAGAATTGTTTTGATCTTTCCCCCCCTTCTGTACCTAAAATTTGTCTCAATTCACAATGACAAACTTCTGTAGTAAAGACAATCAATGTAAAATAAGTGTTTCTCTGTTCTGTAATACTCGAGTTACAGTTCTTATAACTTCACTGTGCCCACAGTTGCAATGCTTTCCCCCATTATGAACACAGGGCCTGTATTTTATGCCAATAAAAATATTTACACAGAAAGATTGCACCGGATTGGAATTAACTTTGGTATCCGTCATGACCTTAGATGTCATTAGTTTTTAACAGCTGTGTTGCTTGATTGCATCAACATTTTGTGAAAAGAAAGAGACCTAAAATAAAAAATGTAGACCACATATAACTTAATATAATTATTTCATTTTATATTTTAATTTTAATTTTATTTAAAATATATGTTAAGTGCTCAGCAAAATGCCATTTGAAGAACTAAGGAAAATTATACCTGTAATTTATGTTGTGAACAATTCAATGTTAATTCAGTGCCATTCTCAGAAATCAGAATTTCTGTGCCACAAGCATTGTCCTTTTAAAGAATCAATTCTTTTAACATTAATATAAAAATATATACATTTGGCACCTGGAAATTTCAGTTTTTGAAATCAAATTGTATTGAAGATTTTGATTTGTTGTTACAGCTGTGATGGACATAAGGCTTCCAGTTTTTTTTCTGACCAAGATTTTGAAAAATGCAGAGTGGAATGACATATAACAGCTCAGATATTTATATCATATATCTCAAATTCTGATAAGACATGCATAATGTAGAAAACTTCTTCCATAA